CTAATCAAATGAAAATCCTTTTATCAGGCATATGCAATAACAGGTTTACTAACTTTGAGACTAAACAAGATATATAGTAATATCTATGAAGCATATAATCAACAAATGATTTTTAATTTTAACTTTTGGCAGAGAACCTTCTAAAAATTTCTAAATTTCAAAAAATATCCAAAACTGTAACATTAATCTAATTTGAAAACCCTATGGCTTCTGTAAAACATTTAGATTTCCTATTTACATTGACCTTTGTTTTAACTAGCCATACCAGGGTAAATTTTTCAAAGAATTTCTTCCTTGTTTATTTCCTGGTTAAATGACTTAGTTTTGGTATGTTGCAATGGTGTTCTCATTTTTAAAAATATAAGAATATTACTGCTATAATTATAAAGGTACTTAAACACTGTTTAAAACACAATAATTTAAAATTAGACATATTTTCTAAAGTTTTGTATTTAATGCCAAATGAGTATCACAAAGATCTTCCTCTGTCTCCAGATGTAAACAGCAGCAACCTTTCCCCTTTGCCCAAAGACCACCGGGGTCTCCCAAAAAAAATCCTTTTCATCCTCCTACCAATAAAGGCTACCTTAGTATGAACACAAGTTAAACTACAATCCTTATTATGAGAAAAAGCCAAGAAAGAGAATGCTAATTCAGCTTCCATGTGTTCTACCAACACCCGGATAGTTGCAGTCTGTCTTTTGACTTCACTCTAGATCCCCTGGACTGGGAACACTGGATTGTTTCATACAAAAGAGAGCCTGGCACTACTGCATATTTGCTTTCCATCCTGTAGCAAATGTGTTAAAATTCCAAACTAGAGACAGGAAGTCCTAGTTATTAACACAATCTGTCTCTCCCTCAGAAATTACCTGCTTTTCCATTTTATTCAAAATACAGTTTGAACACCAACTACGGAAAAAGAGATGAAAAGGGGAAAAAGCTCTCAAATATTAAAGCGCTTACTCTGACTCCAGTAGGCATGGAACTGTCTAGATGCTAGGTAACTAATGGTCTCTTTTTAACTTACTAGTCATCTTTTATAAATAAAACACTTCTTATTCTAAAAACAAGGTGTAACAAATCAGACCCAGGTTGCTTACATAATGTCACTCTAACAGTATGAAATTAACAAGGAAAACTGAGTGAAGCATTCAAGCAATAAGGAAATCTGAAATCTCACATACTCCTATGATACTGATGGTAAATGATTAACGACAGAGAAATTTGAAAGAAAATTTAATATAATAGAAGCATTTTATTTGGACTCAAATCTAAACTATTTCAACTATTTCAAAGCACCAGTGTTTTGAAGTGTTTACCAAGCATTTTCTATGAGCTAGGGATAAGATGAATACAACCTTAAATTTTATAATTCTCGATATTCTATTTGTGTGTGCGCACGCACCCTAAGAGGGAAGCAGGGGTCCCCAGGTTTAGGACAGGATAACTACTGGATAACTTTTCATTTACTAACGAAACTTAAAATGCAGTAGTTAGGGGTAGGGGTTAGCCAACTGGCAACAGCTTGTTGACCTCTAGGGCCAACAGAAAGGGTAGATGTTTCAATTACCCATTTAAACAGACACTAAATCCCTACCAAGGCAACTCAAACCATAACCAAGGGCTAATGGTAACATCTTAAAAAGAGCTCTGCTCCAACTCCATATACCTTCATTTAGCAGGAGTGGAAGGAATAACTTGAAATTCCCCATCTAAAAATGACACCTTTGCTTGGGCACTGACACCCACAGGACACATTTCCAAAATAAGTCACAGGAGGCTGGACATAACAAAAATTAAGAGGACATCCCTCCTAGGGCAGAAGGTATTAAGTTATCTATTTAGATAATGGGCAAATATGAATTTCAAAGAGACTCCCCTTCCATTTTACATAGCAGAGATCTTTTTCAAATGCAAATGTGTTGTTTCAATTTCATCAGAACCAACCATTTAAAGTCAATGTTTTGGGCCTCATTGAGCGCTGGGTTGCAAAGCTGCCAGCAGCCTCTGCAGGGCCAGTTCGATCCGGGCTGCTCCCCAGCCACCAGAGGAGGGTCCCACATGGCGCGCAGACCTCTCCTGCGGCTGCTCCCCACTTCGGTCTTTCTGTCTGCTCTGCTCCCCACTCTGGCTCTGGTGAATTCTCTCACCCTCCCATGCTTCTGACTGTACCCAGTGCTTGTATAAATAAATAAAAAAATCTTAAAAATATATATATACCATGACTTTGGTTTAAAAAATAAAAAAAAATAAAGTCAATGTTTTCCAGGTAGGAACATTTGAGATTGGGCATTTGTCTTTCCCAGGTACACTAAGGCAGGGTTAAATGCCACACCAGGTGTATGTGGCACAGAGGGAACTCACATGAACCAAGTTGATAGTCTTAGGGTTCCAATAAGGGAAACACCAAACTTCCTTTCCTAGTTAAGGGGGGTGACCCAAGCTAAAACACGTTCATGGAGGCTTAGGGCCCTGACCACATCCCCCTTCCTTCCCATTCCATTATATTATGCAGGACCTCAGTTTACCTACAGTAAAAGTTACCAAATTAAAACACCAAACATGCCAGCTTCCATGGCTATTCAGTTCACATTTTACTTGCATTTATCTTTCCATTACACATTGCAATTAACTTAAGCATATACTATCCTTTCACCCAGATTCATGAAATGTCAACTTTTGCACCACAAACTTGATATATTAAACCATTAAATAGAATCTAGTTGGTATAGGATTTCCATATTGCCATCTAGAGAGAGGAAGTGAAACCCCCTGCAAGAGCAAAGGATGTGAGTCTGGAGACAGAATCCAACTCCAAGCTGAACCTGTAACCTAGAAAGCATCTGAGGCTGGAAATGGAAAGCACTTGGTTGGTTAGCGGCTCTCAAATGGTCAGTAGTTTTTCCTAACTGGATCCAGGGATGCTTTCCTCAAAGATACCTGACATTTTAAAAGGTTTTACATGAGTTAAACAGTGAACTTAGCACTTTTTCATTTATCAACCCTCTGAGCAGGTACTGCTAAACCCATTTTACAAATCAGAAAAGAGAAATGCAATGACTGTAAGAGAACTTGCTCATGACTATAAGGAACTAGGATGGAAATCAAATGCAGGTAATGATTGTACTTTTTGGTGTCACCAGACTCTTAATAACCACTCGAGGTTCTCACAATGAAACTGGAACACATACAAAAGACAAACTGGTCATGATATACTAAAAGTGTAAATAAAGTGCCCTGAAAGTCTTAGAGATATGGTCACACCTGCCAGAAGCATTCATACTCAGCAAAAGTCAATAGTTTGATGCCAGTTTAATTAGCAAAAAAAGCATCTAATACTTAGATATACTAACCATATCAGTAATTGCATAGTTTAAAATCCAGAATCCATGAGAAATGGCATTGAATTTCATCTGAACTTAAAACCTGTCAGACCTTATTCAAATAACAGGATTTGCTCTCTTGCAATCTTTCAAAACAAGAATGGGTAAAGGTATCTGCAAACACGCAAAGGGAGGAATTACAGACACAAGATTTTCTGTAGAGAATGCACAAAGTCCCAAAAGGAAGGGGGCTGGCAAGAAGATCTCAAGTCCCTTCCACAAGTAAATCTGAATTTTGAGATATTTCTCAAAAGCTATTAAAACTAAAGTTAAGGCCTTAACAATAGATTCTGCATTTTAACATGGAAAAAAAAAAGCAATTTTAAAAGGATAAATTAAAGTGCTTGCTCATTATCATGGAAATGCAAATCAAAACCACTCTATACCTGTAACTGTTTTCTTAAAAAGAGTTCTTAAATTTTCATTGAAGAGGCACTCATGTAACTTTAGGAGATGGCAGAGAATGCAAGTAGAGTCTTATAACCTCCCACTAATAAAACTTCCTAGGATGCTGTTTATTTCCCCCTTCTAAAAGCTAGAGGAGAGATCAATGCCCAAGGACTGGAAGACTGTTGTTGCTAACAGACCTTCAGAGTTCACTCTTCTGAATACTCAGGCTAGGTTAACATTTAGCATTAGAATTTCTAAATCTGCTAGTGTCCAGTGCAAGCTGAGGTATGTATGAGTCACGCTACGAGGGAGGTACAGACTATGTGAAAGTAAAGTATTTGACTGGCACAGATCTAAGAGCACAATTCTGACATTAAATGCCTACACATGATAAATAATACCTATTTACTCCGACTGATGAAAATCACACATAAAAGTCCAAAACAGGTCAGAAAACCCGGGGCACCTATCAAGCTGCTTACTTGTTTCACTTTTTATGTAAAATAAGTTTCACTTTTAATCAAAACTACAGGATGGTCTCATGAGTTGTAGCAGAAATCATCAGCATTATAAATATGTTCAGATAAAGGGTCTCATGTGCAATATTGACTTGGATTTTGAAATTATTCTAAAAACTACTTTAGGCAGAAAATGCCACCATACCAGTGGGTGGCTAGAAGTTTGGGGCACCGTTCCCTCCCAATATCTGAGGAAGAGCAATGGAAAACAAGTGACTTCCAGAAACCTTAACTTGGATCTAACATTAAAACTGAAGTTTCACTGAAAAACAGCAATGAAACTTTCAGTAATTAATGTGAGTGATGGAAAGTAAATAAAAGTTTCCCAGGCCCAGTAACTCTTACATATGGAATCCAAAGGCTGGTAGGAGTGAATTTTTTATGAAAAGTGATTGTTTCCAAAGTTACTCCTTGTGTATGTGAAAGGAAAATAAGCGAAGAACACTTTCACTCTATTTCCACTCAGCATTTGTCGCTGATGGCAAATAATCAGTAATTGTTTGAAGACACCCACTCCTTTTAGCCACACAGATACTTGACCTTAAGTTAAAATATGAAACCGATCCTAACTACTTCTAAACTTGCCAAGTTGAGCCTCTGGAGTGAGGAAATAAAAAGACCTCCCCCAGGCCCCCAGCGCCACATTACTCAACAATGAGTTTCAGAAAAACGACTCTGATAAACCATTCCAGACGAAGGGAGTCACTTCTAAAATCCTGTAAAACATTCTAACATCCGAGTTCTGGCTCCGTAGAGGAAGGACCTCAAGGATGGAATGTTTTTGCCTCCTTCGCTCTCAAAGGTCAGCTGGGCCTGGGCCCAGGGGGCGGGGACCTCCAGGGGGGCGCGGGGGTGCTGGGGCGGGGGCGGGGGGACCCCAGTGGGGAAGACGAGGCGCTCGCGGCCTCTGCCTGTCATTCCGGGCCGAACCCGGCCGATTCCGGGGCGCGGGGCGGCCCCGGGCGCCTCGCTCACTCACCGTGAAGCGCTGATCGCCGACGCTGCCCACGGAGAAGCAGTGGTCGCCCGGGTTCACCGCGCCGGTGAGCACCTGGTGCAGGTTCATGTCGGCGCTTCAGTCCAGCCACGGACGCCGCGTCCGGCTCATGCCCAGGGTCAGCGGCCGGTCCCTCCCTCCTTCCCTCAGGGGCGGCGGCCGCTCTTGGGCGGCGACCGCGCCAGGCGCCAGGAGCCGGAGCCGCTCAGCTGGGGCCCGCAGCTCATCCCGAGTCCTGGCGGGCGAGGCCCGGAGGGGGCGGGCCGGGGAGCCGGCGAGCGCCGCGCCCGTCCGCGCACCTGTCACAGCCCTCCCGGGCCCAGGTGACGCGCGGGTCGACTCAGCGGCCGCCACCTGGAGCCGCCTCGCCGGCCAGGAGGGCCGCGCCGGCTACCTGCCTCCTCTGGGCTCCGGGAACCCGGCTCTGCCCGAGCCCGAGTGGCGCAGGCAGCACGCGACCGCCCTCCCCGCCTGACCTGTCCCTTCCCGGCGCCGGCGCCCGCCAGCCCCCACTGCCTCGGCGCTCCCGACGCGTCTCTAAGTCGCCTCTGTCGAAATATCGCGAGATTTCAGGAGGCGCAGCGCAGGCTGCGGTATAGGACTCGCTCTTCCCCAGTCTGCAGGTCGGCAGGCCGGTCTGAAAACGCCTCGTCGCTACACGTCAGAAACCGCCCAATCCCGAGCGCCGGTGCACGGGGGCTCCGCCCACCGCTGAGGACCGGCCAATCGCGTTGAGGCTTGGGAGCGACTCAGCTTTGGACCGTCGAACTTAAACGCACAGCGCGTCTGGAATGAGGTGAGAGTTAGCGGGTTGTGCTTTAGGTTAGCGCTTGGTCTGAATGCCGGGCCGGAGAGTTTAAAAGGGAGAAATGCATTATAAATGGAGTTGTAGTTTCCATGGTGCGGGTGGAGACTACAAGTCCCAGCAAGCACCGCTTCCCAGGCGACCCCTGAGTACTTAAGTGTGACCCGTGGAGCGTCCCCGTCCCGGCGAAGTGGTGACAGCAGGGGCCTCCCCGGTGGCGCAGGGGATTGAGCGCACGCTGTGACGCTGTCCATAGCTTCTGCAGCGCGGGTTCGAGTCCCGACCGGCCAGGGAGATACCCACATGGCGCGGCAGACCTCTCCTGTCTCGCCCCGCTGCTCCCCTCAGCAGTGTACTTCGTCAGTCTGCCTGCTCTGCTCCCAGCTCTCTCTCTGGTGAATCCTCTCACCCTCCCACATCTCTGACTGTACCCAGTGCTTGTATAAATAAATAAATCTTAAATTAAAAAAAAAAAAAAGGTGACTCCAGCCTCAGCCGGGTTTCCAACTCGCTAAACAGGATAATTTGGGGAGGTTTAAACCCTTGACAAATGCTAAAATGAAATATTAACCTGGTTTTACGTAACATACAGCTGAAGTAGTCCTGGTAGTTGTACTGCACCAGCCAGCCCTGCCTTCAGCATTGCAAAAAGAATAAGGATTCCAAACTCAGTGTCACAGAAGGGTGAGATTCAACTCGCATTGTCTTTTCACACAGCTTTGTATTGTTTTTAAACAATATCTGTTTATACTGCATCTCGCAGATAATGTAAGCCCCTTAGGAACAAATTGTGTTCTGTTTATCTCCGTGTCCCAAGTGTTTAGCCCAGTGTCAGTTCTAATTTAGGTGTTCAATAAAAGGTTGAATGAATATAAGTAGGAACTCTCCTCTTATGGATTAGGTTTTTAAATTAATAAATTGATGTTTTCTGTATTTTTTGGTGGTTAAAATTAATTAATTTCAAATTAATATTTAAACCGGGAGGTTTACTAGTAATTTTAACTTCCTTTTGCTTTTCCTAAATTTTTGGCAATTTTTACATTTGCTTTGTTTTGCAATAGAAAGTTACTTAAAATATGGGGACTACACCTGAGAGAAGAAAGCATGCATTGTACAAAAAGGGAAGAATGAAGTAAAATATATATATAATGTAATAATAAATTATAAATTAAAAAAAAGTTACTTAAAAAACAAGTTTAGGCACCATACCCCTTTTCTTAAATTGAAAGGTTTATCCCAATCTCTTCATAAAATGAGGGAGGGACTTCATATATAATTTGCCTTCAAAAAAAAAAAAAACTTTTAGGGCCTCCCTGGTGGCACAGGGGGTTAAGACACAAGCTACCACAGACATTATGTGCAGCCTCTGCAGCACCATTTCGATCCCAGGGCAGGGAGCTGCCCACATGGCACAGCAGACCTCTCCTGACTCGACCGCTGCTCCCCTCAGCAGTGTATTTCAGTCAATCTGCCTGTTCTGTTCCCCACTCTGTCTCTGGTGAATCCTCTCACCCCTCACACCTCTGGCCTATACCCCAGTTCTTGTATGTATAAATAAATAAATCTTTAAAAAAATACTTTTATTGAGGTCTAACATATAGTTTGTCTTTGATAATTAATCCAAATTTTATTTAAAGTGATTTTAAGTTAATTTTATATTTTAGACTAAATCAAGATTTTCCATTGCCCCACAAAAATGCTATGTAACCCAAAGTTTAATATTGTCACTCATTTTATTCTGCAGTTTTGCTTTGAAAAACTTTTAGTATAGCAAATTAAAGAAACTAAGTGACCTAGTAGTTGGAAAATCTGAGATCTTTCGCTTTCTGAGTTATTTTCCTTAGCATTATCCTTTCCAGTTTCATCCATGTTGTCACAAATGCAAGAGTTAATCCTTTTTTATAGCTGAGTAGTATTCCATTGTGTCTATAAACCACATTTTTCTGATCCCTTCTTCCATCCTTGGGCATTTAAGCTGTTTCCAAACTGGATAGTCTCACTTATATGTGGAATAGAGAAACATAAAGGGTCAGTCCAAACAAAACCAGTAATATACTCTTATATCTGTCTGCAAAACTGAGGCAACCAGAGAAGAGTGGTGGGGTGGGATTCGGGGAGAGACGGGCTCCTATGGAACATTGTGGAAGATTGTTGAGGCAGGGTAGGGTATGAAAGTATCCATTTGTAGAGGTTTGACCCTAAGACTCCTGGAGCAAATACAAAGATGTAAACCTACTTCACCTCAATAAACATAATTTGGGAAAAATAGAAAAAGAAAAAAAATCTGAGATCTAGTCATGATCTCATAATAGCTCTAGGACCTTGGAAAACTTAAAACTAGGTTTTCTCAAGTGTAAATTTGGCATGTTGACTGTGAGTATCAATAACATTTTGCTTGGCATTTTCATTCCTGCGACTCTGCATACTTGCTAGTTTTTTTTTAGATTACTTAAGTTTTGAGATAAACTACTTGAGATTGAATGCTAGCGTCACCACTCAAACAAGTTACGTACTCTTTCTGTTTTACTATCCCATCCATGAAGTGGGGACAGTAGTTTTTTCACCCCCTAGTGTCACTTAACCTCCCCTTAACAAAACTATCTAATCCCAAATCTAGTTTTGACTTCTCAAAAAACTTAAGCTTAATTTTGACCAGTGGCAAAATTGGTAAAGAAATAAAGAAGGTAAGGTAAAGTATAGGATTTTTTGTGTGTAATTATTATAAGGATTAAATGAGAACAGTGTTAGGTAGGTATTGGGGTTCAGATAGTGATGGGGTTTGGTGTGTGGCATACTTGGGTCCCTCTGAGAGAGAATTCAGCAGATGTTCCCATTCGCCAGCACACAGCAAGTTTATTAAAGGAAAAGAGAAAAGGAAAAAAAAATGCCTGCATATTCATAGGTGGGCAGGATTGGGTTGGTATTCTATGATTATTAATCCTCTCTGCCCACACCTTTGGCTGATAATCTTTTCTACCCCACCTCAGATTCCTGGAAATTTCCATAGCCCATTGTAGATTCATTAATCATCTCTATCACCACCTTGGATTTGTCCTTGTGAGACTTTCCATCCTAAATTTTTCTATTCCCAGCTTCCATCATTAGGCACAGAGTTCAATAGATGTTAGCTGTTATTACTGTTATTGTTATTATTTTACTCTCATAAAATAACCTTCTGGTATATACTTTAAAGTTTTCTAAATAATGTCAAACCTAAGTCCAAATCAAACTTTGAAGGGATGTTTGAGACTGCCACAAGTGTTCTAATGTCATTACGGGGCAGGGTGAGGGGAACCCTAAAGTCCCCAAAACTGCCAGTCTTAAATAGTTTCTGCCATCCACCATATCAAGACAAAACATACTCTAGTGCATAAGACCTTCAATGGAAATACAATTAGTATCTAATATTTAATACTAGTAGTGAGCAATAGGCAGTAGAGAAAGAATATAGTTAAAGTGGTTTCCAATTAATGTCCAAAATTACCCATCCCCTCGTGGAAAAATGCACCAGCCAAACAAGGTTGGCCCAAAGTAAGACTGCTAAGATCCAAAAGCTTGCCACAAATCTAAGGTACCTTCTGGTGGGGTCCCATGGAAAAGGGGCAGAAAAGAGCAAAATTAAAACCCAAGTCAAGAGGCCTTCCTGGTGGTGCAAGGTGTTAAGCACAGCAATGTGAAGCTATTAGCAGCCTCTGCAGCTCGAGTATGATCCCCAGCCAGCCAGGGAGATACCCACATGGCGCAGCAGACCTCTCCTGTCTCGCCTGCTGCTCCCCTCAGCAGTGTATTTTGGTCAGTCTACCTGTTCTGTTCCCTGCTCTGTCTCTGGGGAGTCCTCTCACCCTCAGCACCTCTAGCCTGTACCCCAGTTCTTGTATGAATAAATAAATCTTAAAAAAAAAAAAAACAACCCAAGTCAAGATAAAGGCTGCCTCCTCAAGAGTCTCTCACCCATGTCTCTGTCTCCTTTCAAGTTTCTTCTTCCATCTCCCACAAGTCCCTCGTACAAGTCCAAGGCCAAGAAGTAAGCATAGTTTCTTTATATGTCTCTCTGCCTAGCTCCACCATTCCTTATGGTAGGGCAGGGAAACTGGAACCTCCCATTTCCCTGGGGATTGCTCTACTACGATGGTATCTTAATCTGAATCCAAAATTATGGAAATAGAATGGCTAATGAAAAACCAAGGGCACCCTTTTGTCTCTCATTCATCGGAAATGCTTTTCCTGCCTTCTTATATTGGTACCATGAAACAAGTTCTCTTTGCTGTATAGCAAATGAATAGTTTCAATGAAAAACCTTAATGTTTATAATTTATCTGTTCACTACAACTCTTGCCTACTTTCTGGGTATTTACAGCCCTTCAGCTAAGAATGGCTTTTACATTTTTAAATGGTTAAAAATACTGAATAGAAGGATAATATTTCATGATATATGAAAATTAAATGAAATTCACATGTCTATAAAATATCTTTGGGACACAGCCAAATATAGTCATTTAGATAATACTTATAGTTACTTTTATACCACATCTACAAAGTTGAGTAGTTTCAGCAGAGACTGCATAACCCGCCAAGCCAAAAATACTCACTATCTGGTCCTTTTGAGGGAAAGTTTGTTGACCCCTGACCTATAGAAAGGCTCCTCTACTGCTCTGTGATCTATGAAGTAGTTTTTGCTATACATAATCGCACTATTGAACCACTCAGCTTAATTCGCAAAACATCTAATGTGAATGATTACATAAGCATCTTTACATCTGTTGTGTCCTTGCTTCTTCACATACTATAACCTAGCAGAGTAAATACTCAACAAACAGTTGAATGCATGGGTTAATATATACACAGAACTGATACACACATACATACATACATACATACATATATGAAGGTTCCCCTAAAGAAACTATCCCAGAGAGATAGCTGTAGAAAACCATTTTGGTTTCAACCTGCAGTTTCTACATATTGCCCTGTAGTGACTTCCCTTTAAGGAG